TCCCCCCGACTTCTGAAACCAAAGTTGCTCCCCTGGATAGGCCTACTGTATGTGCATCTCTCTGATTTGACAATTGATTGAAAACTCCCACTATTAATCATTATGAAATAGGTGAGTTAAACTGTTAACTGTAAACGTCAACTCTAGCTAGTTACTCTACACAGCAATTCTCATAAATACTGTCATAAAACCTGTCAAACACTGAGGGGGTTCGATTAATCTGGGCGCCCAGGTAGGCGATGTCGGCTCAAAACAAAAGTGAAGTAATTAAGCACGTGTGGAGTAATGAGTATGATTATGTGTGAGTATGTGTTTTCACATGCAAAAGTGATATTGCTTTTGATAAAAACACTTTATCTGCCTTCCCAATGAAAACTAGTTTGAAAATTCTAACTTATATTTTATGGGGAAGAGATGTATGTTTCTGGACCATGCACTATGCTGCCTTGTTGACCACATGACCAAGCAGCAAAGATTCCTGCTTGATTTGAGAAGGGCGCTCCTCCCTCACCGCTTTTGCTGGTTCATGTCACGGGTCATAGACTGGTGCCCTGCTGCTCATAGAGTAGATACAGTTTCAGGGTCAGGGCCGGCTCTAGCCTTTTGATTTGGTTGGGGGCCCCCCCACCTCACAGCAAAACATTTTAGTGGCCACCCTCTTGACAGTGGAGAGATTTTTTTTAGTTTCAAGTTAATTTCCTGCAATTCTACACATTTTGCCATGGGGCGCAGAGAAAATGTTGCAGTTTTAAAGCACGTTTTCTGCGATTCTACACATTTTGTCATGGGGCAGAGAAAACGTTGCAATTTTATAACAAATTTCCTGCAATTCTACCCATTTTGCCATAGGGTGGAGAGAAATGTTTGCAGTTTTAAAGATGCACTATGCAGAAATCGCTCTCCCATTTCCTGGTTGCTAAAATTCTAATAGTTCGCCTAATTTCAGTTTATGTGACAAAACAAGCAATTATAGTGTAGAAAATCATTGTACCATCTAAACCGCTGTGAAATATATTTTCCATAACCAAAAATATTGTATTTTCAGCTGTTTAAAGCTGACGTACAAAACCGGAAAATTAAAAGATGCAAAAACGAAACTTTAGAATGGGAAGTCACTTCTTAGACTTGCTTTTAATGAGAATGATAGATCTATAACACACATTTATTTCTATGTGAATTTGGTTGGGTTCGCCCAAAGAGTGACACATTGCAGCTTTAAAGCTAATTTCCTGCAATTCTACAAATGTAATGACTTATGCCATGTTAATATGATATCTGAGTGACTAACAAAATCAATGTGGGCCCCATAGAGGCCAGGTCGGTATTTGGCCATGATTACTACAAGTTTAGATAGCTGGCTAGACTAACTACCAATCAAAAAATGGTTAGCTGACATGGCTAATTGAGTGACTGTCAATGACTGACATAAGAGAAAAACTGCTGATGCACAACCAAATTTTAAAATTGAACCTAGTGTATTCTACTATCCTTACTCTCAATAGTAAGTTTGAGGCCCCGACAGAGTTCCATAGTGGCTGGGGGCCCTCTTATGTCGCTTATGCCTGGAACTGGCCCTGCTGGCTAGGTGGTTGATTGACATGCAAGTCTGTCCCTATAATGACTTATAAATAGCTTGTGCTGTCACTGGATAGGCTACCTCTGACCTTTTGCCTGAAGAGATTCCCCGACCTGGGGACATTCCTTATCAAATGTATATCAGTGAATAATGTGGCTCAGATATGAGATAACCCCCGAGTGGCGCAGCGGTCTAAGGCACTGCAGTGCTTGAGGCATCACTACAGATCCGGGTTCGATCCCGGGCTGTGTCGCAGCCGGGAGACCCATGAGGCGACCCACAATTGGCCCAGCATCGTCCGAGTTAGGGGAGAGTTTGGCCGGCCTGTCCTGTGGTGGGCTGGGCGCATGCACGCTTACACTGTCGCCAGTTGTACGGTGTTTCCTCCGACACATTGGTGCGGCTGGCTTCCGGGTTAAGCGAGCAGTGTGTCAAGAAGCAGTGCGGCTTGGCAGTTTCGTGTTTCAGAGGACGCATGGCTCTCGACATTCGCCTCTCTCGAGTCCATAGGAGAGTTGCAGCGATGGGACAAGACTGTAACTACCAATTGGGGAGAAAAAGAAACAACATTTAAATAAAATATGAGATACCCAGGAGCTGTTGGATTAAAGACTATAGACCAGACAGATTAATACAGTATGGTCCATTGAAGATGCAAGGACGCCACCTTGCGGCAACAGAAGTCATGACATAGTCACCATGACATAGCACTGGCTACAAATCAGCTGCCAAGGGGAGTGAGTGTATTTTGATGCTTTCAAGACAACCTGGAAATCCGGGGAAAAAACTAGGTCAAATCATGATGTCAGTGATCTTCAGGTCGTTTCCGACTTGGAATGCCGAGTTGGATGACCATTCAAAACACATTTTTCCTAGTCGGAGTTCCTAGTTGTCTTGAACCCACTGAAGTCAGAGATTTTCGAGTTCCCAATTGTTTTGAATGCGGCATTAGTGTTCTGTGTGACAGCGAGAGAGATATATATGCCCTACAGTTACTCTAAGCCAGGGTTCTTCAATTCCGGTCCTGGAGGGCCGAAACACCTCTGTTTTTCATCCTCTCCTTCTAATCAGGGGCTAATTCAGACCTGGGACACCAGGTGAGTGCAATTAACTACCAGGTAGAAATAAAAAAACAGAAGTGTTTCGGCCCTCCAGGACCAGAATTGAAGAACCGTGCTCTAAGCCCTGCAGCCATCTTGGGCTAGACTGCTGCTAGGCTGGTGAGTGTGAATGTGTTTATAAATCTACATCTCCTAAACCGTGTTAAGCTGCTAACAGCAGCTCCTGCTAACTCCAGCTGGAGTGTGTGAGTGCAGAGAGAGGAGAAGAGAGAGGGAGAAAGGGAGACCAAGAGAGAGTGGGAGGATGCAAGGGACTCTGAAGGAGAGAGAGATCACTGAAGAACAACATGTGCCACACACTACAAAGTGGTCAGTTAGTTACCATTTTATTATTAGTGTTATACTGATCAGAGTTCAGCGTCTCCAAAGGAATAGTTTAATAAGCATGATGCAAGAAAAGTCTCCAACTCTACTCCTGGAGAGCTACCCTTTCTGTGCAGGATTTTGCTCCAGCCCTGCTCTAACACATCCAGCCCTGCTCCTCATCGAGACCTTGATTGGCTAAATCGGGTGTATTAGAACAGAGCAGGGTTGAAGCAAAAGCCAGTAGTTCTCCAGGAAGAGGGTTGGCCACCCCTGGTTCTAGAGTCTAGAACCCACCCCTGGCTCTAAAATATTTAGATTTCTCTGGTTCTAGAGTCTTTAGAGTTCTCTTCAGTCTAAAATGACCATGACATTCTGTTTGATCTTTATCTTTTGTTAAAGAAAAATATGAAAATAGAGTTGACAGAACATTTAGGCACACTATTGACACGTACTGTACACAGATATGCACACGGTTCATTATCATAGATTCATAATGTACTAGGAAATCCCAGTTTTTCACAGCAACGTTTCATCAAAATCTACATGATGCTGTGTTGTCTCATATTGTTTTCACCCGTTAGATTTAGTTCCCGTTCATTTCATGATTTATACAACACAGGATCATGTTGATGTGGGGTAAACGCTGTGAAAACCTGTCCCCAAGGGATTAAAAAACATCAACAGCCTGAACAGGAGGAGAGAGTGGAGGCTTTTAAGGTGAAGTCCTATGTGGTTCCCCTGGTCACCTCTCCAGTCTGGGGACAAATATCCACCTCCCTTTAAAAGATCACACAGCTCAGAGTTCATGTCCTCATGCTGTTAATCACAGTCAAGAGCTGCTCATTGCCAGCCAATCACAGCAGACGAGGGACAGTTCCATCCAATGGCAGCAGTGGAATGGAGCTCTGTTCGGCCAATGGAAGAACTCCGGTAGTAAGTGCTCTTCAGCAGTGATTCTGTTGGTTCACAGGAACACAGTTTTCCTGCGATTCCATTGATCAGATGACACAGTCTCTCCTGTCATTGGTTCATATAACAGAATGTAATTTTTGTTCGCGCTCCAAACAGGCTCAAACGGATAATAACCCCTATATCGCTAGACCAATGAGCTAGCTTTCTATCCAAACGGAGAATAACCCCTATATCGCTAGACCAATGAGCTAGCTTTCTATCCAAACGGATAATAACCCCTATATCGCTAGACCAATGAGCTAGCTTTCTATCCAGAGGCTTTAGCTCGACTGGCTAGATCACTCGTCATTCCTGATACTGACACATCAGCATGGAAACCACAGATTCATCAGGAGTAAAAAATAAAAATAATACAAAAAAAACACTGACTTATAAAACAAGTCTAAATAAATGTTGTTTTTTTTGTTTGTTTTTACAACATCGGAATGTAGGTTGTTGGGGTTAGAATACTTTTTTTCTTTGGGGAAGGGGGAGAATTCTTTCACCTTTTATACAATTTTTCAAAAACAGTATAGTTTACATTCTTTATACAATATACAGTTATTCAAATACACATGCATTAAAGAAAAATATTGCACAAAATGAATGACTTTCTCTGAATAAAAGTGTGATTAAGTAGGGATATCCGTGTGTTTTCTCTTTGTAACGTAGTGCTGCGAGTGTGTGAGCATGGTCTCTTTGTATTAAGGCTGCTTCACTAAAACTCACACTGACACAGTGTCTGACTGGGGAGGGCTCGTCTTACTGCTACACACTCTCACATGCACACAAACCTCTAAAGACCTAACGCAGACAGACAGACAGACAGACAGGACCCACAGAGTACATTCTAAGAGGCATACCTGTGTATGCGTAGACACCCGACAGACAGTCGCCTCTACAGACAGCAACATTCACACAGTCTGGCCTGTTTCATTTAATTCTGGCTCCGTCCAAAATGGCACCATATTCCTAATATATAGTAGACTACTATTAGGCTCCGTCTGTCCGAAAGCAGTGCACTAGAATGTGGTGCCATTTCAGATTTACCCAGGTCTCAGCTCTAGAGAGAGCAGTTGAGCTGTGCATTCTGGTTTCTTCTTCTTTCGCATGATTAACAACATGAAGCACAGTGAGTGCTGTCCATCATGCCTGTCGACACACAGACACACAAAAACAGCTAGGGCTTTGGTTGTCATGGCTACTGACAGTCCGAAAGGATTATGGCAGGCATGGATGATGATGATGTCACATTGTGTAAAAAACACAAAATAACAATAAAACTTGAAAAAAACAACCGGATGTGGTTGACACTGCACGCCAGTCCTCTGTCTCTATTTTCTCTTCTGTCTCCTGCTGTTTAAAAGCCTACAGTATAAGTCAGAGCCATATATATACCCATAGAAATATAATCTATTCATTATATTTCTATGTACAGTATATACACAACATATGCCATAACATATGTGGGTCGTTCTACAAAATGAGTCCTTTTGCATTCCTTTGATATTTTAAGTAGAAATTGTGCACCAATATAGAATTTTAAAGCTGCAATATGTAACTTTTTGGGCAACCCGACCACATTCACACAGAAATATGAGTTATAGATCTGTCACTCATTGAAAGCAAGTCTTAGAAGCACTTGATCTGTTCTATACGCTTCACGTTCTTAAGTTTCATTTTGCGCCTTTTACTTTCGTTTTTTTTGTACACCAGCATCAAACAGCTGAAAATACAATATTTTGGGTTATGGAAAATATATTTCACAGCGGTTTAGATGGTACAATGATTCTCTTCCCTATATTTGCTTGTTTCATTACATAAACTGAAATTAAGCGAACTATTAGAATTTTCGCAACCAGGAAATGGCGGAACGATTTCTGCATAGTGCATCTTTAAAAACCTGTTATACTAAATGAAGTGACCACATGGAAAATTCAATACATTAGATTTTTAATATGAATAGACTTGCTAAAGTGCCACAATACTGCATTTTGGCATGTCCCTCTGTGCACTCTCTGTAACTTCTAGAAAGATTTTAACCCACTTAATCCCCCAAAAGTTTTCACCATCATTGTGAAGCCTCAGTTATTTTGTTGCTTTGACAAAGTCATTTGTGAAGAGGTAAAACAACAACAACAACAACCTGTCTTTCATTTTAAGGTCAACCCTGTTAAGTGAACTGAACTATCCTATTCCTTGTTATTTTTTAAAGAAAAATTGAATATGTAATTGTAAAATTATAGTGTAAAAGCAGATGAGCTGGTTTTACAATTTTTTGCCATTTTATTGTGTTTTGTGGTGGAAAACTAAGTTGGTTGAGCGTAACACGTCAACCCTGTTACCCATAGATAGACATTTTTTGTTTTTGTTTTTGTGAAGCTTTCATTCAATTGCCCCTCCCTGTTGCACACAATAACCTTCCATTCCCCCGGTCACAAGGGATTTATGGCTGATTTAGATGAAATCGTCAACCCTGTTACGTTCAACCCTGTTACGTTCAACCCTGTTACGTTCAACCCTGTTACTTTATCTGGCACTTAATAAGCACTTACATTTAGCATTTTTTATTTTATTTTAGTCATTTAGCAGATGCCCTTATCCAGAGCGACTTACAGGAGCAATTAGGGTTAAGTGCCCTTAAGGGCACATCAGATTTTTCACCTAGTCGGCTCAGGGATTCCAACCAGCGGCCTTTCGGTTACTCGCCCAATGCTCTTAACCACTAGGCTACCTGCCGCCCAGTTATTTCTTTCTTTAACCTCTTGAGATTGGAAACTATGTTTTTTATTAAGTTGAAAATGTGCTCTTCACTAAATCAAACGTTTTTTTCCCACCAAGTTACACTACCCCAGAGTTTCCCAAACTCGGTCCTCGGGACCCCAAGGGGTGCATCTTTTGTTTCTTTCCCTAGCACTACACAGCTGATTTCAAATAATCAACTAATCATCCAGCTTTGATTATTTGAAATCAGCTGTGTAGTGCTAGGGCAAAAAACAAAACGTGCACCCAGGACTGAGTTTGGGAAACACTACCAAAAAGGGACTCATTTCATGGAACGACCCATGTATTTCTCTATACATAGCTCTGCTCTCTGGTATCAGTAACTGAGATCAACTGCTGGGTGTAGCAGAGCAGCTCTGTCAGTCTGACCACACATCTACAATAAAATAGTTTAGTATGAAATAAAAAGTACAAAACTAAAATAAAATCCAAATGAGGTCTCTTAGCTGTGCACAGGAGAGGAGAGGGTGTGTGTGTGTGTGTGTGTGTGTGTGTGTGAGGGGCATGTAGGGGAGAGGAGGGGAGAGTTAAGCTCAGATGGTCCAAATATCACCTCTTGACATAGATGGCAGGACGCGCATACACACACACGTTGACCTCTTCTCACCAGCACACACACACACACACACGTTGACCTCTTCTCACCAGCACACATACACACACGTTGACCTCTTCTCACCAGCACACATACACACACACACGTTGACCTCTTCACACACCGTCCCCACTACTCCCCTCCCCTCTTCCCTCTGTTCACTCACGTAGTGTCACCCTATACCCTGCCCAATCCCAGTCTCCTGTCACCTCTTCAGGGAGGTGCTCTTGAGTTTCTGTGTGTATCTGGCTGTGCGTGGCGAACGGGAGTGCAGTTTGACAAACAGCTCTGGGAACTTGTACTGAGGGAACATGGTCTCCAGGAACCCTTCTAGGAGCACGTAGACCAGCCGACGATTCATTGGTCCATGTTGGAACATGTCAAACACACGAAGGATGCCTTTACGAGTCGTATCCGCCCCGATGATGTGCTTCAACTCATCTGGAGGAGGATAGAGGGAGAAATTATGTATTAATAGTGAACAAGTGTGTTCAGTCTGAGTGTGTGTGTGTGTGTGTGTATTACCTGGCATGATTCCCAATAGGTTGGTCTTGGCGGCGACCCGTGTCCTCATGCGGATGTTCTTGTCCCGGCGGGGTGGAGACTCTGCTAGGATTCCATTGGGCCAGTATGAATCCCTGCACAGGGGTGGGACCAAAGAGAGTTACTGACAGACCTTCTAACCAATCACACACAGCGATCTAATAGTGTGTGTGTCTCTGTTACCTGAACTTCTTTACGTAGTCTGCCACCTGTTCTGGAGCTGTCATGAAGTCCACATGATCAACAATCTTCCTGCAGAGACCAGAGTGGCAGACAATACAGTCAGATATGTGTATGTGGCGCTGATGAGTGTACGTGTGTGCGTACAGTACCTGTTGATAGTGTCTCCGTATGTGGCTCTGATGAGTTGCTGCAGAAGGTTCTTGATGTTCCTGCGGAGCCACTGGTTCCTCTCCTTCAGGTCAAACACCTCATCCATCAGCAGCAGCATCACACGCAGGGGGATGTTATCATCCACCTGGAAAACACACACACACCTCCCAAACGTTATACCACTATATTGCTTTCATTAATTTAACATGTTTCAGAGGAGAGGGCCTATAAACTGGTGTGCTAGTCGGGGTGTTGTACTCACATTGTCGTCCAGCTGGGCCGAGACTCGGCAGTGCTCTGGGTCAATGTCAGACTTGGGGAGCAGTGGAGGCACCTGGACACCAGACAGTTGATTATGGTCCGAGTATGGTAAAGTATGGTTCGAGTATAGTTAGCGTCTGGTTGATGTATAGTCTGAGTGTAATTAATACATGGTCAGTCTGGTTGGACTGTTAAGGTTAGAGAGCATAGCAAGACTTTTGAACATGGACTGTTTGATGTTGCCCCAGTTTCTCAGACATGTGTCCCATGTCAGTTATACTAAGGTTGTAGTATAGGTAGTAGGCCTGTGAACGTTTAAATGTTTAATTGGGATCCTTAACGTTAAGAAAAAACCCTACGTAGATGCAGAAAGTAAACAGTATAGTGGGTCAATTTCCGCAACAATTTCCGTCTCTACTTCTCCGCTGTTTTGGCGCCCTGGCAACCACGCTGTGAACAGCATGAAGCGAATCCGTGCACATGCGCAGATACTGTGTGAGAGCCAAGTGTTGCATCTTGCTCATCTCAATATCCTAGCCTATTCATTGATGATAGACCCTTCTTTATTGAGAAATTGCGATATACATCATTTCATTGCGAGATACAGCTTTTGATTGCCGATAGATAGGCCTAGTGCACGGTTCTGACTGACTGCCTGGTGGCCGACCTGCAAATACTGTGCCCCTCCCTTCTCTATCCGTCCCTCGCTAGCTCGCTATGAAAGATGCAAATGTTTGTGTTCTCGGAAGTACGGCAACTATGTCTCCTCTGTTCCAGAAATTCTGAATCTTAGGAGTACTGAATCTTAACACTCAGAAATGGGAGTCGACACCGGGAATTGACGTGCAAGGAGTCAATTATTTTGGAGTCGACTCTCCACTTCTTCATCGTCGTTAACATTTCGAAAAATGGCAGAGAAAGGCAAGCGACAGCAGCGGTCCTGTATGGTAGTACTTTGAGAAGTTAAATGAGAAGGAAATGCAAACTTTGCAAGGTGGAATTGAGGTACAGTAATGGCAGTACAGCTGCAATGCTTAACCATCTGAAAGGGACACACCGTGAGACCTAAACTGTTGATGGCAGCAGGACAGCTGCATTGTGAATTCACGTGGAATTATGTGAATTTTTCTTATCGTTTTAACAGAAAACCAATATGATTTTTTCAGTTTAAATGTTAAGAAATGTTATCCATTTGTCACATCCCTAATAAGTAGAGTCCTTACCTTGAACATGGACTGTTTGATGTCCTGTCCCAGTTTCTCTGACATGCGTCCCATGTTGTCAGCAGCAGTGTTCATCCCTTCAGCCAGACTGTCTGGCAGTCTCTTCACTGCGTTGGACACGTTACGCATCGAGCTACGCAGCGGGTTCACAAACGTATCCATCTGTTAAGACATGTGGCTCAGTTGGTAGAGCATGACGCTTGCCACGGTAAGTTTGTGGGTTCGATTCCCATGGGGGACTAGTATGAAAATGTATGCACTCACTACTGTAAGTCGCTCTGGATAAGAGCATCAGCTAAATAATGTAAATGAGAGACAAACACGCGACAGGTGAGTGTGTGTAGTGAGCGATGCCGTAGCTAAGCCACTTGAGTATGTACAGTTGGGCAACGTGAGTATGTGTTTTCTTGTTTTTGTATGTCATTCAACAAACGTTCTTTACTCAGAGCGACTTACAGGAGCAATTAGGGTTAAGTCCCTTGCTCAAGGACACGTCGACAGATTTTTTACCTAGTCGGCTCGGGGACTCGAGCCAGCGACCTTTCGGTTTCTGGCCCAAAGCTCTTAAGCGCTAGGCTATCTGCCGTGTGTGTGTACCTTGCGTGCGAAGTCTCCCTTGCCCTTGCTGTACTGCTTATTCTCCAGGAAGTCGTAGACATAGGGGACCAGAGTAGGACAGGCCTTCACCATCTCTGGATTCAGCAGCAGCTAACACACACACACACACACACACGAGAGAGAAGAGAGGAATGGTTATAGCCACGTAAAACGGGTATACTAAAGACATAACACAACTACACACACGTCACACTCCTACCTGTAGGTATGCGTTCAGGTCTTTTTTTCTCTTCTCCAGGAAGTCTCTGTCCATGTTGTTGAACGTCTTCTTCCCCGGCAGCTTCAGGATCGACGTCAAGTTCTCAAACTGGAATATAACAAACACACACGCCAGGTTCCCAAAATGGAGGTACAACACACACCCATAGAGACAGATGGAGGATGCCCTTGGACCAAAGTATGTTTTAGCATGGGCAGTGCCATTGAGGCTTCCACCATTTTGAAGTAGTCAACTGGGCGGGACTTTGCTTACAAAGCAAAAACAGGTTTTTCTATTTTTTTGCAGAATCTTGTTTCTCATGGTCTGAGAGTTCTTTAGGTGCCTTTTGGTAAACTCCAAGCGGGCTGTCATGTGCCTTTTACTGAGGAGTGGCTTCCGTCTGGCCAGTCTACCATAAAGGCCTGATTGGTGGAGTGCTGCAGAGATGGTTGTCCTTCTGGAAGGTTCTCCCATCTCCACAGAGGAACTCTGGAGCTCTGTCAGAGTGAGCATCGGATTCTTGGTCACCTCCCTGACCAAGGCCCTTCTCCCACGATTGCTCAGTTTGGCTGGGCAGCCAGCTCTAGGAAGAGTCTTTGTGGTTCCAAACTTCTTCCATTTAAGAATGATGGAGGCCACTGTGTTCTTGCGGACCTTCAATACTGCAGAAATTTTTTGGTGGGCCTCCCGAGTTGTGCAGCGGTCTAAGGCACTGCATCGCAGGCTGTGTCACAGCCGGCCGTGACACAGCCGGCCGTGACCGGGAGACCCATGAGGCGGCGCACAATTGGCCCAGCGTCGTCCGGGTAAGTGGAGGGTTTGGCCAGCCGGGCTTTCCTTGTCCCATCGCGCTCTAGTGACGCCAGTTGGACAGTGTTTCCTCCGACACATTGGTGCGGCTGGCTTCCGGGTTAAGCGAGCAGCGTGTCAAGAAGCAGTGCGGCTTGGCAGGGTCTCCCGAGTCCGTAGGGGAGTTGCAGCGATGGGACAAGACTGTAACTACCAATTGGATATCACGAAATTGGGGAGAAAAAGGGGGAAAAAATATATTATAAAAAAAATACAACACTTTTTTGGTACCCTTCCCCAGATCTATGCCTCGACACAATCCTGTCTCGGAGCTCTACGGACAATTCCTTCGACCTCATGGCTTGGTTTTTGCTCTGACATGCACTTTCCAAATCATGTCCAATCAATTGAATTTACCACAGGTGGACACCAATCAAGTTGTAGAAACATCTCAAGGATGATCAATGGAAACAGGATGCACCTGATCTCAATTTCGAGTCTCATAGCACAGGGTCTGAATACTTATGTAAATAAAGTATTTCATTTTTATATTATGTATACATTTGCAAACATTTCAAAAAACCTGTTTTCGCTTTGTTATTATGGGGTATTGTGTGCAGATTGATGAGGGAAAAAAATAATTGTATCAATTTTAGAATAAGGCTGTAACGTAAACAAAATGTGGAAAAAGGAAGCTGTCTGAATACTTTTCTAATGCACTATATGTACACACCTTAGAAGTCAGAAGGCCTTTGTTATAGGAACACACACACGCATATTTACCTTTACCTGCTCCGTGATCCTCATATGGAAGTCGTGGAAGTCAGAGTAGCGGCGGTAGGTTTTCCAGGAGTCCTCGCTGCCGTCGTGGTTACGGCGGCACACGGTGATGGCGTAGAGGGCGTAGGTCTTGCCGTGGTCGTTACACACCCCTGTAGCACCCAGCAGGCCCAACCCCACACCCAACCCAGCCCCAGGGAGACACGCATCAGCTACTGATACACAGAGCCCAGGAGGGGAGAGGAGGCAGGAGGGGAGAGGCAGGAGGAGGAGGAGAGGGATAGGGAAGGGAGGCAGGAGGAGGGAGCAGACAGACAGACAGACAGACAGCGAGAGAGAGAGAGAGAGAGAGAGAGAGGGAGGGAGGGGAATGAGGACAAATGACAAAAAGTAGCGAAGGAAGAAGTGAAGGGAAGTGAAGGAAAGAAGGAAAAACAGAAGAAATGGTAAAGTTGATGAAATAATGAAAGTGTAAAAAGAAAAGTAGCAGCAACATGAGATGGTAACATAAGTGATACAAGCTGATGGTTAACGTGAGGAGATGAAGTTACAGGTCAAAGGGCGATGCAGAGGGGAGGAGGGGGCTAGTCGGGGGGAGTGGTCAGTAGGTCAAAAGGCAGACACACACACACAACACTTCTGGCCCTAAAAAAGTTACCTGTCACTGCTGTAAATTCTTGCCCACCCTGCCCAGCCAAATCAATCAAATCATTGAATCAAATGTCAAAACATTCTTGCTATTTTATCATCCAAGATACATCTTCCACGCCATAAATAATAGGACTCACTGGACTGTCGTCTTGTAGTGTTAGGAGACAACACTGCATCTAGGCTCCTTACAGCGTCAATGCATTTTGACAGGGTAACGTTTTGAAGGCCACTACTGTTGTACCCACACATCTCTGAATGAAACCACAATAGTAGTCAGTAGTCATACATGCAAGTGAGAGGACAATGATAGTTGGTTAACTTTCAGTAGCACACTAGCTTACAATACATCACATCCCACCACTGACAATACACTCATCTGACTGGATATCACAAGTCTGAATTCATGTGTGTGTGAGTGCGTACCTGTATCAGAGATGAAGGCGTGTAGCTGTATATTGTCGTCATTGCAGGAATTCGAAAGGTCATCCAGAGACTGTAAACAGTGGAGCGAAACAACCAATCAGAACCAGAGATACTGCCAATCTCTGGACTAACATCCAATCAACACCTGTGAAACTGTTAATCCCTGTACTAACAGCCAATCAACAGCAGCGACACTGCTACTTTGACCTCTGCAGTAAAAGTCAACCATTTCCTAACTGTTGTTAAATCTTAACAACTCTATAGCAGGGTAGCAAACACCACTAGTGGTCCAATAACACCTGTTCTAACAGACAGTACTGTGACTATGGCTGGTTGGGCTCCCTAGTGGCGCAGCGGTCTAAGGCACTGCATCTCAGTGCTCGAGGCGTCACTACAGACCCCCTGGTTCGATTCCAGGCTGTATCACAACCGGCCGTGATTGGGAGTCCCATAGGGCAGCGCACAATTGGCCCAGCATCGTCCGGGTTTGGCCATTGTAGGCCGTCATTGTAAATAAGCATTTTTTCTTAACTGTGCCTAGTTAAATTAAGGTTAAATAAAAAATAAAATATGACTGCACTGACCGCTGGTGTGTCTCAGGGACTGACGAGGACTTACTAGATTAATGCTTCCTGTTGGAGAACCATTGAACGATTCTGTAGAGTAAGAGAGAGGGAGATAAATAAATAGTTAGAGATATAGGACAACAGTTTCTCTTCACAGTCATGGGGAATGGGTTAGGGGTGTCAAACTCATTCCATTGAGGGCCGTGTGTCCTGCTGGTTTTGTTATTTATTTTCAATAGGTGTCCAATTAAGACCTAGACAACCAGGTGAGGGGAGTTCCTAACTAATCAATTACCTTAATTGATAAAACAAGGGAGAATCAAAAACCTGCAGGTACTCGGCCCTCCTCTCACCCCTGGGTTAGGGTTAAGCTATGCTTAAAACGCACAGACATACAGACAGACCGTACTAACCTCCATCTCCGTCATCTGATCCTCTATAAGAGGGTTCTTTGAGCATGTCCAGTTCAGCTAACATCCTGATGTAGAGGGGACTCTGTCTGAACGACGGGTAGTACCTCTCATCACGAAGCATCATGTCATACACCTGCAACACACACACCAGAACACATTTATTTGGATCCACAATGAAACATTGAGTACAAAGGTCTCAAATATGCTTGCTAGCTGTTACAGTCTCAAACAGTTGATAAAGTTTTTATCAGACTAACACAAACACACCTTTCTCTGGATGTCGTCGAATATCTCTGGCGTGGGGTCGCCATCCTTCTGTAGCTTCTCTCTCAGTTTGACTACAGACATCTCATCTACCTGCACCCTGGGGGACGCCTGGAGAGAGAGAGAGAGGGAAAGAGTTTAAGAAAATGTGTGTGTTTGTGCACGTGTTGCCAAAGTGTATGTGTGTGTGGTGAAAGCGTGTGTGTTACCTTATCAGACAGGTACTGTTCATAGACCCCTAGTGCTGCAGCCTTCAGCAGTCCTTTAGTGGATCCTCCCTTCTTTCCATCCTTCTGCCATCCCTCCATCACCTCTAGTTGTTGCTGGGCTGTTACTCTGTAGCCCTCCACTGTCAGCCAGAAGAACAGCTCTGCCTGGGCCCCAGCCGCCTGCATGTAGTCTACAGGAGAGGGTAGAGGTCAAGGGTTGGAGGTCAGGGGTCAAGGGTTGGAGGTCAAGGGTCAGCTGTTCCTCTGTAGCCCTCCATTGTCAGGCACACACGCCTGCACACACACACAGTTTGTGTGCTGTTGAATTTGTGGTTTTGCCAGTGTCTTCTGTCTGTGTTGTCCGTTTTGTCTTACATTGTTTTTTCCCCCAACCCACGTCCCCACAGGAGGCCATTTGACTCTTGGTTAAATAAAGGTTAAATAAACATATAAAAACAACTCTGCTTGCTTGCATGACAGTGTTGTGTGTGGTACTAACCCATAAAGAACTGCAGGGCGATGTTGTGTACAAGGATGTGTTCCAGCGGTATGATGCACAGCTTGCCGAAGTTAGCAGCTAGTTTCAGCGCATCCACCTCCTACAGTAGAGATAGAGCGAGATGGAGATAGGGAGAGATGGAGATAGGGAGAGATGGAGAGAGAGAGAGAGGGAGAGAGAGAGAGAGAGAGAGAGAGAGAGAGAGAGATGGAGATCGGGAGAGATGGAGATGGAGAGATGGAGAGAGATGGAGATAGGGAGAGATGGAGAGAGAGAGAGAGATGGAGAGAGAGAGAGAGAGATGGAGATCGGGAGAGATGGAGATGGAGAGATGGAGAGAGATGGAGATAGGGAGAGATGGAGATAGAGAGAGATGGAGATAGAGAGAGATGGAGATAGAGAGAGATGGAGATAGAGAGAGATAGAGATAGGGAGAGATAGAGGTAGAGAGATAGAGAGAGATGGAGATATGGAGATAGGGAGAGATGGAGATAGAGAGAGATGGAAAGAGTGAGAACGAGAGAGAAAGAGGTTTAGTAAGTGTATGTTTGACTCATTTTCACTGTTCATCACTCCATAATACCCCATGTCTGACCTTCCCAGACTTCAGCCTCTGTATCCTGGTCTCACAGACCTTCTTCACAAACAACAGACTGTTGATCTGATTCTTTATCACATTGATATCTGAGAGAGAGAGAGAGACAGAGAGAGATGGAGAGGCAGAAAGAGAGGGCAGGAGTGGAATGGAGGGAGTTGGAGAGGAGAGTGGAATGAGAGAGATAAACATTTAATAAAAATCAGGATTGTATGTATACTTTATGTTAAAAGTGTGGCGTCATGCATGTCTGTGTGTGTGTACCGTCTCCTGCTGTGTCCAGTGATCGTAGGTACTGCAGTTCCTCCAGGGCCTTGTCTTTAACAGCCTCCAGCTCAGACACTCTGTCTGTCAGCTTCAAGATGTTCATAAACGCCTCGTAGTTACAGCTAGAGTCCCGGATCTACACACATGCACAGACACACAGACGCACGCAGGCACACACACACGTTTATATAACATCTATAACAGTTGTATTGATAAAAGTTATTGATCTCTACTAACCCTCTACAACTGGTTGATAAAGTGGTAATATTGATAATGATTCCAATAACAATATTGATTATCAATGTGATTACTGATACTGACCATCCAGATAACAAACTGGTTGATGTAATCAGGATCACTCAGCTGGTTGACCAGGGGAAGGAGAACGCCTCGCGCCAGAATCTCCTGGAACATGGACACAATCACATTAAATCATCAGAATGTCCTGTAAAATGCACATAATCAAATTACATCAACATCACATAAAATATTACTACATGCCATTTAGTAGACGCTTTTATCCAAAGCGATTTACAGTCATGCATGCATACATATTGATGTACGGGTGGCCCCAGCGGGTATCAAACGAACAACCCTTGGTGTTGCAAGCACCATGCTCTACTGACTGAGCCACACAGGAACACACATCACAATCAATTTCATGTTGGTGTACGTGTGCGCGTGTTTCAGTGTGTGTTTTGTGTCACAGTGTGAGTGTGTCCGTGTGTGCTCGTCTTGTGTGAGTGTGTGTGTGTGTCTCTCTTACCCTGAGGAAGTATCTCATGTTCTTGTTGTGGAAGTCTCCGGGAGGTAGTAAGAGGTAGAGCAGCACCTCACACAGATCCCTCAGGAACCCTGACACACACAGAGAGACGTCAGTACCTGAATGTCAACATTACGATATACACTGAGTATACCAAACATTAGGAACACCTTGCTAATATTGAGTTGCACCCCCTTTTGCCCTCAGAACAGCCTTGATTCGTCGGGGCATGGACTCTACAAGGTGTCGAAAGCATTCCACAGGGATGCTGGCCCATGTTGACTTCAATGCTTCCCACAGCTGTGTCAAGTTGGCAGGATGTCCTTTGGGTGGTGGACCATTCTTGATACAACGGTTGAGCGTGAAAAACAAACCGTTTGCGCCTGGCACCTACTACCATACCCCGTTCAAAGGCACTTAAATCTTTTTTCTTGCCCATTCACCCTCTGAATGGCACACATACACAATCCATGTCTCAATTGTCTCAAGGCTTCAAAATCCTTCTTTAACCTGTCTCCTACCCTTCTTCATCATTTTATTGTTATTTAACCTTTATTTAACTAGGCAAATCGGTTAAGAACAAATTCTTATTTACAATGACGGCCTACACCGGCCAAACCCGGACGACGCTGGGCCAATTGGGCCAATTCAATCTACACTGATTGAAGTGGAATTAACAGGTAACATCAATAAGGGATCATAGCTTTCACCTGGATTCACCTGGTCAGTCTATGTCATGGAAAGAGCAGGTTTCTTAATGTTTTATGCACTCATTGTATACACACACAGGCTCAAAGTTGCTTCAACTTCCTTGTTGAGATGCAGCGTGTGAACCTTCCTTGCTCTGATGGGAAGTGTGTGTGTGTCTACCTTCTTCATCCTTCAGGGAGGTGCAGACCACGTCTCTACAGATGTTCCTCTCCATCTCTACCTCCGCCTCAAAGAATGACTCCACCATCTCCTCCGACAATTCCCCTAAAATTCATCAACATCATCACGATCATAATCACCACCACAAGCATCACCTTCATCTTCATAATCAACATCACCACAATCATCACCACAATTAACACCATCATCATCATGTCAGAGAGAGCGAGAGAGTGTGTGTGTCTGTCTGTGTATGTGTATTCGTACTCTGTTTATTGTCATCCCTGCGCTCCAGTCTGTCCTGGGCCTTTCTGAAGACTCGGAGGTGAGTAGCGAAGTCATCCACCAGTCTGGTAGTGAAATAAGGCTGCCAGTCCACGTCTTTAGACCTGTATAATAATAATAATAATAATAATAATAATAATAATAATAATAATAACAACAACACCTGTTATAGAGAAGTAATGAAGAGCAGTAAATCAGCAGTAATATAGTAGTAATAGAATATTACCGTGTAGAGAACTGGACCAAAGCGTTCTGGACAGTCTGTCTGATTTCCAGCAGGAAAGACTCATCCTCACTCAGAGTGTAATACCAATACTGAATATAATCTCTCAATGCAAACTGGATGACCTGGAGAGGGAGAGGGGGAGGAGGAAGAGAGTGAGTGAGTGAGTGAGTGAGTGAGTGAGTGAGTGAGTGAGTGAGTGAGTGAGTGAGTGAGTGAGTGAGTGAGGAATAGGCCAGTCATTATTGTAGGTGAGAACTCCATTTTCATTAAACCCACAGTGGCCATACAGAACACAAGAGGGAGATAAACCATGCAGCACTCCACAATGGGACAGACACACACATACACACACAGTGACGTCTGCAGAGAGACAGTGGGGCTGCTGATCCAGGCAGGTCATGATCTAATTAGGCTACTTAATGACATGTCCTCACTTTATCTGGCTGCTATAGCAACTAACTACCACTTTAGTGGACACATTCCAGTCACAGCTATCATTCTCTCAGGCTAACAGAAGGAATGTCTGTTATGTTCTCAACACTGAGTAACATACATAAACATCCACTAAGACAGCCAGAAATACACAAACACACGCATGCCTTTGCTACAGAGACATACATGTCTACATTGAGATAGTTGCAGACTAAAACTAGTGACATGGCTTCATTCATAGTTGTATAGATAGAAGCCAGTAAGCAGAAAGTATCTGTGTCAGCACTGTGCTCCCTCTCCGTTTGTTTTCACTTGCCCATCCTTCTGTTCTGTCACTTACCTGTTGCAGAGGCTCGTCTATGTAGTTGGAGCCAGTCAGTCTTCTGTCTATCTTTATAGGCTTCGGAGCCAACCTCATCTCATCCAATGTCTAGAAAAGAGAGAGAGAGAGAGAGAGAGAGAGAGAGAGAGAGAGAGAGAGAGAGAGAGAGAGAGAGAGAGAGAGAGAGGAGAGAGAGAGAGAGAGAGAGAGAGAGAGAGAGAGAGAGAGAGAGAGAGAGTCATTATTTGTGTGAGTGTGTGTGTGCATGTGTGTGTGTGTGTGTGTGTCATACCTTCAGTATACCCGTTTGCGTGGCTGGCAGGTAGGAGTGTTCACACTTCTCTAGATGTCTCTCTGAGTTAGTCTTCCCAAACAACAGAGTGACCGCAAAACCACTGGAGGAGGAGAGGAGAGAGGGAGAGGAGGGGAAAGAAGGGGGAAAGGGAAGGGGGAGGAAGAGGAGAGGACGAAGAAAGGTAAACAGGTCAACCAGATTTTAAGATTATACAACATCCGTTATTTCAGTAAAAAACAATTGAAAGCTGGGATACAACCAAAGACAGGTCATTTCACATAAACACATCTATAAATGACTTCATAACTTCAAACAGGTGGTCCACACTTACCCTCCTACAACGCAGCAGATATAGAAGGCCAGGTAGAAGATAGCGAAGGGTCCGAAAGTGATGAGGAACAGCACCACTCCTAGACCCCCCCATCCCCACACAGACAGACTGGCCTGGAGGGGGGAGGGAGGGGGTTAACGTATAGCAACAATCAGCACCAATATCACCTACCTAATAACTAAAGAACACTACAGAAAGTCAGATCGAGAGAAAGAGAGAGAGTTTCTTATCCTCAGGTTTCCTGTTATTGTCAGAGCAGGAAAAAAAGAGAAACTAACTGCTGACCTCACTGCTAACATCGATAGCTCTCTAACTGCATCCTAGCCCGGTCTCACACAGCCTACAGGCTAATGCTAGCAAGCTAACTGCTAATGCTAGCACTTGCATTGCAATCTGTGGCCTAGCTAAGACGTAGGCTAACTCCAGTGTTTGACATATATACTGAGTGTACAAAACATTAGGAACACTTTCTTAATATTGAGTTGCACCACCTTTTGCCCTCAGAACAGCCTCAATTTGTTGGGGCATGGACTCTACAAGGCATCGAAAGCGTTCCACAGGGATGCTGGCCCATGTTGACTCCAATGATTCACACAGTTGTGTCAAGTTGGCTGGTGGACCATTCTTGTTACACACAGGAAATGGTTGAGTGTGAAAAACCCAGCAGCGTTGCAGTTCTTGACACACTCAAACCGGTGCGCCTGGCACCTACTACCATACCCTGTTCAAAAGGCCCTCTGAATGGCACACATACACAACCCATGTCTCAATTGTCTCAAGGCTTAAAAATCCTTCTTTAACCTGTCTCTACACTGATCGAAGTGGATTTAACAGGTGACATCAATAAGGGATCATAGCTTTCACCTGGATTGACCTGGTCAGTATGTCATGGAAAGAGCAGGTGTTCCTAATGTTTTGTACACTCAGTGTATAACGTCTTCTACAGAGAGAAGTTGTGATTCGCACAGAAGAGTGTACCGCCAACTACATTGAGTCACTATCAGTCAATAATTGTAAAGCTGTCCATTATTTAATGCTTACCTTCTCTAGGTTTGTCCTGTGTAACTGCAAGCTTTTCTACAAGTGCTAAAATCCGTAGCTTTTGATAAAATAAGCATTTTACACAACCTCTGCCAAGGGACCATTGTTTGTTAGCGGAGAAGGAGCAGCCCATCAAAATCAGATGTTTTTGTTTTGGCAGGGGAAGCATAGAATGCTATTTTTTTATCAAAAACTATGGATTGAAACTGACAACTCTATAGCAATCAGGACAAGCACAGGTACACCGTAAGCGTTAAAGAATGGATATTTGAGTGAAAGTGCATGTTTGAAGTCGCTAACTTCCCACTCCATCGGAAAACAGTGGATTACGCGATGCAATTTGACAGATTACTACGGATTTCAGCACACAAATAAAAGCTTGCAATTGCAGACAAACATAGATAGAAGGTAAGCATTAAAACAATTGACATTTTAACAAGTATTGGCTCTTCTGAGCGCATCACAACTTAAAGGCCCAATGCAGTCAGAAAACTAGCACACTAGCAAGCTTATGCTAGCAGACTCTCTCCGTAACCCAGTCTCCAGCCAACACTGGCACACATCATACAGGTTAACAAGCTACAATGGGTTTATTCATTACATCAGGTCATTAGCCTACATCTGAGGGATTCTTCAGGCTACTTGAAAGACAGCCAGGCTAACAGCTAAAGCTGGTCCTGAATCTATTCTGCATGAGGATTGTCTACCAGGGTCTAGATCACAGTTGATTTGTTTTGTTTACATTCTTCAGATGTTTGCTGTGAGAGGTAAATGTTCCAGGAGTGCTAGGTGAGGTGATACGGGTGAGACAGGTATATGTGTGTGTGTGTCCACCTACAGAGAAGTGTGACAGTCACAGAGGGGGCACTCAGGTAGAATGGGGCACTCCAGGGGCAGGAAGGAATATCGCAATAGGTGAGGTGAGACTGGTACAGTGTGTGTGTGTGTGCGTGCGTCACTCGAGGAAGCAGGCACTCCAGGGGCAGGAAGGAAGGGAGAACTAGGCCATAGGGAGAATCAAAATTGCATACTCCTCACATCCTCAAAACACATTGGATGAGAAAGCCAGAGGTCCCTCCCCTCTAACCTTCCCCTCCAATGGGTTTTGAGAAGGAGAGGAGAGAGGACGCTAGGAGTATGCAATTGAGATTCTCCCATAGTTATCACAGACAGGCTACTGAAGGGAAATGTACTGTTCACACATTATAGGCCTAGGGCAGGTAGGGTATAGCCTATAAACCAGGGCTTTCCAACCCTGTTCCTGGACTGCTACCCTCCTGTAGGTTCACTCCAACCCAAGTTGTAACAAACCTGATCATCTTATCAACCAGCTAATTATTAGAATCAAGTGTGCTAGATTAGGGTTGGAGTGAAAACCTACAGGACGCAGGGCTCTATAGTGAGACTGTTTTACTCGCATAAGTGGCTAAATATTTAGGCGCATCAGCATGCCTAGAAAAATTAAGAATTCTAGCTTTAATATCTACACATACTTTTCATTGTGCTCCTAAATGTATTTGTGTGCGCCTACATTTTTCAACTTAGGCGCACACGTGCTCCTTGTAAAAAAGGTCAGCGTAGAGCCCTGGGAAGATAGCTCTCCAGGAACAGGGTTGGAGAGCTCTGCTATAAAGTATTGTGTGAAAGAAAGGAAGACCCCAGGGGAATAAAGAAATAAAGAGAAAGTGATCTGTCCATGATCTGAGCCAGAGCCACCATAGTGATCAGGACAACACTGTCTATCAGCTCAGGTCATCTACACTAGATAGATAGAGTGGCTGAGGGATGAGAACCATCAATACAGGAGGGTTTCTAAGGACACATGGGTATTGTTCTCACTCTGACGCATAACAATAGACAAGCCAAACCTGTATATCAGTAACCAACATATATACACTACTGTCAGATCACCAACTACCTGACGAGACACTACCAATCATATTATATCAGACACGTACGATCAGCCGATCAGTCACATACCATGCTGGACCAATCTAATATCAGTGACTTATCATGAGCTAATCGTATATCAGTATGAAAATCAGTATGAAAATGTATGCACTCACTAACTGTAAGTCACTCTGGATAAGAGCGTCTGCTAAATGACAAACACAAATGTATTAAACATTTTTAAAATGTATATCAGTTACCATTGGCCGATCAAACCACCAACATTCACTTCAGTTGACTTTATTAGAATTTTTCAGGAATGACCAGAGCCCATCGTCGAGGAGAGACGGTAGAACAAGGAGCCAGATGTTTCACCAGATGTATAAATCTAAAGCATCCGGTTGTAATTTCCACTACCCACCAAATATGTTGAGGAGAGGAAGCCCAGTGGCCTGCAGTGGGAGAGTATGGAGCGAGATGGAACTGGGGCGACATTCTGCAGATTTTCTCACCGAAGAAAAGCCCAATCTCAATACAGTTTTCTATTCCCAAAACTAGAATCAGTTATGAACAGAGTGCACAAAATTTTGCCAAAGTTTCCAAAAATTGCGTTGTTTACAAGAAGGGCAAATGTAGTTATTGCACATGCACACTTTACAGAGAAGGCATTCCCTAACGGAAATATGCAAATACATGCTAGAACGCGCCAATAGGATCTCGCTAGCTCGTGCTTGGCTCTGCCCACCTCCTTGCTTGTTCTGCCCACTATGCTTAAATTTGCTCCAATTAAAAATGACACAGACAAACTCTTGGGTTAGTTATAAATATCTTTGGTAGAACCAGTCCGACTACAGGGTTTTGAGAACTTACCCAGCAGGTTATGAGAACTAACATAGCAGGTTAGGAGAATTAGGTTAATGTTAGAAAAAAAGGGCTAGGGCTAGTTTAAACGCAACAACAAAAAATATTGGGACTTCAATTTGACAAAAGCTGTAGCCCTTCTAGCCATGACCCGACAAGAGAGCAGCAGACACTTACTAGACTAGTCAGGAACATAGCAACAGTGTTCTGGAATGTGTTGAAACATGGCACTCCTCTTTCACAGTGACAATAGGCCCTCTAAATCCTATTCATGGGTTGCACGTTTCGTCACAATATTGTTTGGAACGTTTGTTTTAGGACTGATGCCCAGCTGAGCATTTATTCTCAATGGGTGCTGATGAAGATTTAGTCTAAAGTGCATTACTGTGGCTTGGAAACACGAATACATTTAAAAAGGAGACAAATAATTAGTAGGACAAGCTTTAGATACAGTGTAACTTTAACTAACTAGCTAAGATTGAGGGGAGAGCACCTTTCCAGAGGTCAGGACACACAAGCTTCTGTGTAAAAGCAGAATTAGAGTTCTAGAGAGAGTTTAGAGCTGGACGCCATGTTCTGCAAATCAGGTTGGTGGTGTTGAGTACTACAGCAGTATTACAGCTATAAGGAGACACACACACACACACACACACACACACACACACACACACAGGATATGTCTTGACCTTTGCAGGGGTCAGGGTGATAGTGTTGAGTAGTGCAGCAGTATTACAGCTATAAGCGTCACACTAGGCAGGAGCTAGCAGCAGCATACTCTGAATCATTCCAGCTTACACAGCTTTAACATACACCATCTGTTCCAATCAACCACACTGGACAGAGCTGGGCTATCCCTTACACAACATCATATCACAAACACATATACGTGCGCAAAGACGCACACTGTCCAAATGCACAATACACACACGTAAACACACACACGCAGCGTTTCCCTCGCTCACATAATCAAACAGGCTTGTCAGTCACTTCCTGCTAACACATTCACCTGAGCGTAAACAACAGAGTCATCATGGCCAAATAACAACACATGGCACTGACTGACTACTGCAGGTCATTGACCTCTGTGTTACACAGCCTATTACATTACAGTATTACAAACAGGGGAATTTAAAAACATTGACCTGCACTGTACCATACATATACTACAGTAGCTTAGAGGATGGCCTGTCAGCTGTAGCTAATAGGATGGGCTGTCAGCTAGGCCTATATTTCAGGCTAAATCTCAAATGCTAGACTAGCTCCGGTGATAAGCAGCATACTAGTCGGGTGTCATCTGAGACACAACTTACAGAATGTTACT